GTAACTGAACAAAAGAAGGTCAATCCTCTTGTTTGACCACTTTCTATACTCGTTGGCTAAGAAAGGATCCTTCAAATATTTTTTTGTAACAAAATATCTAAATGAGTGTAGTACTGTCCCAACCTTCCTCAAAACATGCTTCTTTTTGCTCTCATCAATGTGAAATCCTGACCACAAAACATAGAAATCAAACCATTAGTTTGAAGTATCTTATGAAAAAATCAAATTTGAACTATCATAATAATATCTTACCAATACATCTTGCTAGATAGCATCCTATACTGCACGGTATACCTTTCTCCAATGCTGTATAGTGATTAGCATGGTGTTTCTTGCCATAGCACCAATATAACTGATGAACTTATTGGATTTCACAACTTGTCCCCTCTTATTCTACTACATAACAAACTTTTTTCCCTATGACCTCACTTTGACCACTTTTTTCATGACACAAAGCCCTTTCTATCTATGTTGTGCCTCTTCCTGCAACTGCTGCTCTTATTCAGTGGCATTGGTGGACTGAGATGGATTATCAGTGCTAGATCTACTATCATATGCTATCTGTAACAAATTAAAGCATATAGGATTGAATGAGTGAATAAAATAAAGTCATTAGTAACATAAATGAATCAAACATAATCAAATCAAGTAACAATGTAGTCAAACAATAAAAAAGAGAATATATATAGTCAACTAGCTCTTTTCCTCTTTTTAATTTTAGCTTTTTGTATGTTCTTCTTAATTTGAATTGTTTTTATCTTTCTCTAAAGTACTTTTCCTTTCTTTGAAATCCATATTCCTTTATTATCATCATGCCTGACGTATATGGATTCATCTATATTTGAAAGATCTTCAAGTGATGTCCCTTGAAATGGATCATCTTCATATGTGTTGCCTTCATATCCCATCTCCTCATTTGATTGGTCAACAAGATAATAGACCATCCTTTTGTAGCATGATTTGGAACATAAAAAACTTGTCTAGCCTGAGAAGCCAAAATGAAAAACTCTTCTTTATACCCTTATTCAAATTTAACTGTATGAATCCTAAGTCATCAACCCTTAGTGCATTATCATTGTCCACCCACTTGCAATTGAATACTGCAACCCTAAATCCAATGTAATCCAACTCTCAAATATGCCCAATCACCCCAAATTATGATATACTTGTATAGATAGGAATTTTATCTTTGGTAGTCGATATACGCATGGTATTAGCTATAATGGTTACACTAATGTTTTGCATGTTACTTTGATCATCCTGCTCTTTAGTATAGAAAGTGAACCCATTGATGAGGTATCTTGTGAAAAAAAGGTACATGTTTACTTGGTTCATTTGCCAAGAACTTGTTTTCTCATAAATTAAACTAGGATCAGCATTATAATTGTAATGCACGTGCTCTTTCAACCATGATATAAATCGTTTATTGTATGTTTTGGCATACTAACTTTCCAATTTATTAGGATTATCTCTCTTAAGCTCATTAAAATGCTGGTCCATGTAGTCCTTAATCTCTTTAGTGTTGTGTAATGCATAGAGATGTGCTTGCTCCCACTATTGATATGAGATAATAACAACTTTTCTCCCCATAATCCCTTTTCTACCTATTTTTCCGTCGTACCGAGATACTGGTATCCCAATATCACTTGTATTTTTTAAGTACTAGGTAGAAAATTCAACAACCTCTTCACAAATATAGCATTCTATGATACAACCCTTTGGTCAACTCTGATTTTTCACATACCCTTTACATATCTTCATGTAACGCTCAACTAGATACATCCATTTCAAATAAGCTAGGCCACACAGTTGCACTTATCTAACTAAGTGAACAGCTAGGTTGACCATGATGTCAAAAAATATTGGAGGAAAATACATTTCAAGCTCATACAATGTTACTATGATTCGATTTTACAACCTCAGCAATTTATTGGGATTAATCACTTTACCGAAAAGAGAATTTAAAAAAACATAACTTTGTGATTGTACCTTGCACCTTATCAGGTCAAATAGTTAATATTATGACTAGAATAAAGTTTTCCAATAACACATGGCAATCATCAGATTTTAAACCCTTCAGCTTCAAATCCTTAATTAAAACAATGTTGTTAATGTTAGAAAAGTAACATTGCAGCATTTCAATTGTAGCAAAAAACTCACAAAAACTAGTTTTCCCTTTTAGATACTATGTGAGTAGCCGGAAGAAGAAATATACAAGTTCTCTTATCCTCTAGTGGCAATTCCTCCCTTAACCCCATCTCAATCATGTCTAACCTCGCTTTTATACCATCCTTGGTCTTCCCTGGAATATAGAGTAACATCCCAAAAAGAGTTTCATATACATTTTTTTGAATATGTATAACTTCAGGAAAATGCCTCACATCCAGGGTCTTCCAATATGGCAACACAAAGAAAATAGAAATCTTCTTCCACTTACTCATCCCAACATGCTTAGCAAAGGGTTTGCCAAATTCACACTCTATATCTTTCACCTTATAAAAAATATCCTCCCCAGTCAACAGTGTAGGTGCCTTACTTTCTTTTGAATTCTCATTAAAATATTTTTTGAAATGCCAATAAGAACGATCACGATGCAACCATCTACGGTGTCCCATATAGGAATTTTTCATACCATGTTTCAACCTTATTGAATTTATGCCCTCTTTACAAACGGGACATCCAAGTTGCCTCTTAACGCTATACCTTAACAAATTACCATATATGGGAAAGTCGTTGATTGTGCCAAACAACAGGGCTCTCAGCTTGAATATTTCTTCCTTATATATATATATATATATATCATATACATCAACTCCACTCTCCCATAATAGCTTCAAGTCTTCAATCAGTGGAGTTAACTATATATCTATACCATTCCTTGGTTGCTTTCACCTAGAGATTATCATAGACATCATGGAATACTTGCACTTCATGTATAGCCATGGAGGAAGGTTGTATATAAACAAAATCACTGGCCATATACTGTGGGTACTGGTTTGCATGCCATATAGGTTCATTCTGTTAGTAGCTAATGCAAGGCATAGATTCCTCTCTTCTTTTCTAAGTTCAAGATACTTAATGTCAAACTTCTTCTATTTTGGAGAATTAGCAGGATGCCGAAGCATGCCATCTTTAAATTTGACCAATTCTATTAATAATTATGTGGCTTTCACAAACAGACGGTGGAACACTCTTAAGAAACCAACACTTAACACATAGGTAAATAATACTATTGTGATTATCAGCATACTCAACTGTGAATTTAATAAAATATTCTATGTCCTCCCAATATTCCTTTGATAGGTAGTTGATAAACATCCATTTCTTATCTATGGTCCCTATATAACATTAACCATTGGGAGGGAAATATGATCAGTGACTCAAACATGTTGAGCAAATTAAACAAAGATAGGAAATCAATGAGTCACAATTAATCAACATGTTACCCTCTTTAATTTTAATTCTATTATTTCAACTGTTAACAACTAGTAATTTTAACTAACTGGGGTTGGGTCTAGTGGAAGGGGTTAGTCCCTTACAACCTGACGAATCAATGTTTAAATCCCCATTGGGAGAGGTGCCCACATTTAATACCCGACAGTACCTCGAATAGGATTGCCTCTAATAGGAGGATACATATGCTTTAGCAAAAAAAACTAGTAATTCTAATCATTAACAACTAGTAATTGAAATAAATAAACTCATGTGCCATTCCATTTGGGAAAAAAAAAAGTCAACAGCATAACAACTTAAAAATGAACATTTCTAGGCTTTATGCCCTATATTTAAACTATATTAACTTCAAAAAAAATTAATAAATAGCAAACTAGCAACATGACAATATCATAACTAATAACAACATTCATGAAAGAAAAATAAAGCCACTAAATTCCAACTAGCTTGTATGAAAGTTTAATTCTTCATGCTAAAAACAAATTTCATTGAATTTAGAAACAATGCCATCTAAATTCAATCATGTGCCATTGTAATTGGAAAAAATTTGGCAGTATAATAGCTTAGAATGAGCACTTTTTAGGCCTTATGCCTTCTCTTTCCACTATTTTAATTTCAAAAAATAAATCTTTCCATACCAAACTAGCAAGACAATTATTCATGGAAGTTTAATTTAGTCTAAATAATATCTCATGTAAAATGTAATCATTCAAACCATTAGGAATAATGCTTTAACATAACCGAAACGATTTCATTCAACTAGAAATCAAACCTCACAAACCATAACATGTAACTCACAATTCGGATAACGTAATAAAACTTGTAAACGACATATAACCCACTCAAATGAACCAATATTGAAGCGAAGAACAGTTAACAAATTAACCCGTCAATCAACAATGAAATGAAGAAGAAGAATAAAAAGAAGAGATGAACCAAAGCAAATGGCATTCATTATAAACCCAAAACATTTTTAAAACACTATAGAGGAAGAAGAAATGTGACAAACCAATAATTCGAAGTAGAACCACCTCCTATATTGTCCTAAAATGCGAGCACGATTGTAGCAGCGAACAACAAACTCGATGGCAGTAAAGGGGTGAAGAGGAAAATGACAGTTATATTTATGGTTTGTGAGGTTTTAAAAAAGGAAATATTTGATAGTTATTCCTAATAACGGTCAAGTTTTATCTTAAAATACTTGACAGTTATATTGAAAAACCGTCAAATATTCCTCCACAAAAATATACTTCACGGTTTTTCTTCAAAACTGTCAAGTATTTGAAAACAATACTTAATGGTTATTTAAAACCATCAAGTATTTGAATACAATACTTAAAAGTTATTAGTAATAACCATCAAGTATTTCTCATGTGCCTCTTATTTGATAGTTTTTAGAATAACCGTCAAGTATCTAGCGTCAAATATTTGTAAATCTGTAGTAGTGTGTGTGTGTTGACTTATTTTATTTGTTAGCATTAACTTGCAGTTAACCTTTGGTTTATAAATCTGTGGACATCCCTAGAAAAGTTTCATCCATCCAATCCTTAATATAAGAGCTAATTTGACTTTTAATTTGGTCCTAAGACTCCAATCCTCTTGATCTATCATATTTAATTTTCTTTTTTAAGGTAGTCCTTGTAATAGTTGTACATGTTAAAATTTTCATTAAATGTTAAAACTAATACATTTGATTAGTAATGGTATTTTAGAAAAGACATCACGTATTTAATACAAATAACTAATTTAACAAACTCTCTTAATATACTCAAATCAGTTAACTAGCTCTTATATTAAATAGTGGAGGTAATATGACTTTATATATATAAAACGAGGGTATTTACGGCCATTTTGATAGATCATGTACTTATATCCAAGTTTAAGTTAAAGTGTTCTTTGATAGTTTTTTTTTGGGGCCGAACGTTCTTCCGATGGTTGTTTCACAATTTATTTTTCTTTTTGTATAAAATAGGGCTTAGCCCAAAAAAAAAAACTAGACTAAATGGGGATTAAATCTCAAGGGCTCCTTGTCCGCAAGGCCCCTGAGATTAGTAGGGCAATCATGTTTGATTTACTCGCTTTTCTTAGAAAGACATTAAAAAGTCAAATATTGAAGTACATGCACATTATTACACCTCCGATTCTATTTATAAGCTTTAAATTTGGCAAAAAGTGTGATCTATTTTATAAGCTTCAATTTGAGTTGATTTTAACATTTAATGTATTTTTTTCAATGTTGCCATTAATTATTTCTCTCTTATCATATTTTTTCACATATTCTCTTTCATCCTTTTTTTCCATTTATTATACGAGTATATTTGAAAGAAAAAATATATTTTTAATATATTTATTATTTTTAACTAATTTTAACTAATTATTCATTATGCGTAAATTAGTTATTTCAAGCTTATAATAAGGACCGAAGGGAGTATTAATTACTCCCTCTAGTCCTATATATAAACTTCAAATAACTAATTCTTAAATAACGAATAATAAGTTAAAATTAGTCAAAAACAATAAATAAGTTAGAAATATAATCTTGTTTTCAAATATACCCTTATAATAAATAAGAAAAAAGAAGAAAGAGAATATGTAAAGAAACATGATAAGAGATATCATGATAAAAGAGAGAGAATAAATAATTAAAGGTAAAATTTTTAAAGAACTGCATTAAATATTAAGACAAACCCAAATTGAAACTTATAAATTGAACCACATGCCTCCTTAAATTTGAAACTATATATAAGACCGGAATGTTAATTTTTTCTTTAATTTAACCCTTCTAGTGAATCAGTTTTTTTTTTTTACCAGCTAGACTAAAATAGGTTATTTTGAAAAAAATTAAATGGGTTAGATGAGCTTGTCAACCTACAATTTGAGATGGTTTGCCTCCTTTAACCTGTCTAACTCATATTAATGGTCCTTATAGTGCACTGATTATTAAGAATTCTAAATTTTGAAAATTTGAAAAGCACTAAGGTCCTAAACGATAACAAACAATTACTACAACAATAAGTTTTATCTTAGTAGATGAGATTGGCTATACCAATTACATGACATTATTGTGTTTTATTAATTACCAAATCTTTGATTGTGTATATTACTCCCTATGGTCCTTTTTATAAGAGCATGATAACTAAATTACATAGTTTAAGAAAACAATTAAAATTAGTTAAAAGTAATAAATATGTAAAAAATAATTTCTTTTTAAATATACCCTTTATTTATGAGTGGGTAAGTAAGAGAGAAAAATAGAATAATAATGAGAGAAAGTATGAAAAAGAAGATAATATGCCAAGTTGTCAACCTTTCAATTAATTCAATCTATAAAATCAATTAGAGGCAAAAATGATAAAAACACATTAAATGACAACTCGGCATATTCGATCTTTTCAATACTCTTTTTTTAAAAAAAAAATATTTTAAGTACTGCTAATTGATAGCTTTTTTTTTTTGCCAGTCTATTATTTGATAGCTTAGTACTCCTTATTTTATTGTTTTAGTACTGAAAAAAAAATTAAAGGTTATTGCTAAACGAACATGAAAACGAATATTAAATATATAAAAGATGAAAAACTTTTAAAATGAGCACTGAAAATGTTATATATAGATGATGAGTACTAAAAATAAAAAGTTGATTATTACTAAAAACATGAAGGAATTGTTTCACCGAAAAAATGAAAGCATGAAGGAATTAAATTACATCATATAAGTCATATGTAGATTAAGCTTAATTATTCAAACAAATTGTGAACACATTATTATCTATGAGTAAAGTGCAGATTTGGGCATCCTCAATGAAGCATATCAGTGATAAATTTCTCCACATGTATGATTAATTGAAGAGACCCCACTCTCTCACAGACATCAGTTGATTTTTCCATCTTTGAAGAGTCTTTCTCTTATAAATGGCCCATCCACTACTCACGTATTAATGCTTAATTTTCATGCCGTCCAAGTCGCACGTTGAGAATAAAGTCCTTGGAGGACGCAGAGGCTCAGAATTATTGACCATATTCTTCTACTCTTCAGTCAATTTTTTTTTTTGGGCATTGGAGAGATTAAGTAAGTTGGCCCTGTGAACTCACTAGGATGAGGACATATTTTCATATTTAGAGAGCACTTACAAATATGCTTTTAGATTACTCACTAATAAGGTCATCACATCAGTAGCAAGATTTGAACAACCTATGATCTTGTGAATTATGAGCCACTTTCTTACCAACTAGCTAGTTGGTAAACAGAATAGTACACTATTTTCGTCTGTTAAATTGAACAAACGAATATGACATCTCATATTCGTCTGTTCAATTTAACAGACAAATATATTACATTATATTCGTCTGTTGGTAAACAGACGAATATTCAGTTTCTATCTACATCTCCTTCATCTACGTACCCCTCAAAACAGATGAGAAAGGACCTTCAGAACAGGCGAAAATGACCTTTTTTCTAGTAGTGTAGGTCAATTCTTGTTAGCTAATTTTCAGTCAATATTCACACAGCACCATCATTATTTCTCTTCTCGGGTTTCGGGTTTCTACACGTAAAAATATGGACTTCAAGAAGAGTGCTTGATTAGCTTAAAAAGAAAGAAAGCCTTTTTAAAACAGTTAAAACCCGATTATTAAAAATCAACAAATAATTTCTCTCTCTTAATTTGTAGTCTTCAAATTAATAATAAAAAAACTAATAGTTGGGTTATATATTATATTAATCATAAATTCCTCAATTCCTAGGATTTTCTCTCCGCCAAATATCTGATCTTTTTCCATAAGTAATACACCTGTTGATATCCCCATCAATGGGAGAGAGTTCTTGTGAAGTGGCAAGGCTGATCAGGGTTCCTTCACTATATTTCTTCCACATATCTGTCATTATTTTTGACAAACTATCAAATGCCATAAATAAAAAAACAATAAAATAAATTAAAGTAACAAATTTCATAAATATAGATGTTCATAATAAAAGCTCTGATATTACTTTTAAGAAAGATTTTTTACATTAATTTTGGGACAAGTGTAACAATTTTAACATCAATTAGGAAGAATTATATTTTTAACATCATTTCAAGGGAGACATGTAATCCAGTGATGTAGTTTTTTAAACGTTTAACAACATAGAAGATAATTTCTACGTTATTAGTAAATAACCGATTTAAAAAAAATTATTTTTGTATTTAAAAGCATTATTTTTATCTTCTGCCCTAGATATACTATTGATGGCTAAGTAATTTATTTTAAATTCAAAGTTAAAAGAAATGACTTAATAATCATCAATAATATACTTTGTGTAACTGGAATAAAAAGCACTGAATAAAGTGCTTGAATGTACTGAAATTCCTTTATTACTATTGCATAATCAAAATTGAAGCATATAATGTTCCCTTCATTTCATTCCAAAAACAATATCATAAGGGCCTATTTGATACACAGCATTGGAAGAGTTGGTACTAACATTGGCACTGGAGTTATTCATTTTGTCGTGTTTAATATATATGACAACTTCAGCAATCCTAAGCAACTTTTATCAATTCAAAACATATTTAATGATTGAACTAATATTCTTTAGTTTGTGGAAAAAATTATATTATGGACTGGAAGGATTTTTTTTAAACTAATTTTTATATAATATCAATACAAACATTTTATCTAAAAACTCCTGACTAAATGCTATTTAAACGTTAAAGGCATCAATCCCATTTTTACTTATAATCTCTATCTCAATCCTAATTCATCAAATGTCAATGCTGTGAACCAAACAAGGCGCCAAGGTCTTCATCTAGGGAGTGACCATTACGCAGTTTGTACTACTATTTTACGTTTTAACGAAGTCTCCTCTTATAATACGGCCTGTCTCGTGCTAATTAAAAAGGCCCCTCCAGACATTGGCCCAAATGCTTCTATCATTAATTAAAATGGTCCATCCACTCCTACTTTTCAAAGTCTACTTTTCAAAGTCTTTCACTTTTGTTTTCTATAGCAACATGATTACCTGGTGAGTTGGTTTCTTGCTAAGTAGCTCCAACTTGCCAGTTACAAGAAAAGTCCACAATTAGCTTGACTACATGTATAGCCACACATGTTGTTGATTTGTCTATCGAAGTCTCCTCTTATAATACGGCCTGTCCCTCACTAATTAAAACAGCCCCTCCATTCCAATACATTGGCCCAAATGCTTCTATCATTAATTAAAATGGTCCATCCACTCCTACTTTTCACACTACAAAAAAAAATTTGATTAGCAACGGAAAAAAAATTCCATTGCTAATTTCTGATGGAAACAAATTCCGTTGCTAGTTTTTGACAGAATTACGACAGAAATTGTGTGGCTAATTTTGTTGACGGATTAGCGACGGAATTTCTGTCCGTCACTAAATTTCGTCGCTAATCTGTCAGAAAATCCATCAATAAATATTTAGGGACGGAATTTTTTCCATCAAAAATTTCGGTCGCTAATTCCATCACTAAATTGTTTGTCATAGAAGTTTTTGTTACTAATGTCGTCGATAATTCTATTTCGTCGCAATTCTGTCGCTAGTCACTAATTTTAAATTTCATTATTTTAAATTATAATCTTACAAAAATTTATATAATGACAATTAAGAATATAATGATTTAAAAAAATTTTAATTATAAAATAAATTGATATATTGTCGAGTTGGTGTTAATAAAGATATCGTCATCATTCATGTCATCATTAGGTATATACTGAAAATAGAAAGACAATTTTTTAGAAAACTTGTTTATATTTCATTAAAATAAATTCCTATTGATTATTAATAATAGTTAAAAAATATAATAAGAATATTAATAACTTTTTTATACAAACTGATATAAAAAAGAAATAATTTTATCATATGTACAATATATTGAAATATATAATATATGATAGAAATTCAAAACCAAAAAATGAATTTATATGAACGCAAACTAATATTGAAGTGAATTTTGAATTTCAATCATTAAACAATAAAATTTAATCATGATATAATTAATACCCATGAGATAGATTGTTTTTTGTCTTCAATACAAAAACAAATGGTATATACAAAGAATTTTAAGAAAATAAATTACATAGGATATATATATACAAGTAGGAGAATACTGTTTATCATAATCTATTCGAATCATTAATTTTTATATAAAATAATTTATTAGATTTTATTATAGCAGTTATTTTTTGAATAATAAGATTTTTTGACTAATTGTAAATGATTTTCTTCAAATATATAAAACACATATAGATAATTTAATATAATGTAGTATAATACATATATAATTAAATTGTGTATCTTATCAATGTTAATTAAAAATAAATTTAAAAAAATATTTATAAAAAATTTATTTATGATTTAAAATTCAAATTAGTGTCGTTAGAAATTAAAATTATATTAAAAATATTTTTTAAAAAAATAAAACATTATAAAACAAATAGTAAACAAATATTTAAAAAAATTTTGTTATGAAAATAATTATGATTAAAATTATCATATAGTATATTTTTAGTTTTTAATAATATATATGTATATATAATTGTTTTTGTAAAATAATATTATATATGTATATATTTAATTTTACATAGTAAGTTAACAGGTTCATTATAGCTCAACGGGTAAAGCCGCACATGCGCACAGATGAGGTCCGGGGTTTGACCCATGGAGAAGTCACTTTGAGGAGGGAATTATCTGGTAGCGACACGTGGCAGGCAAAGGTGACATATGATGTGGCATGTAAAGGTGAGGTGGCAATGACATGTGGAGATAGTCATCGGTGATGACATGGTGATTGTTAGAGATGCCGTGTGGTGTTTTATTTTTTTTTTCAAAAATCGGATTAGTGATGGAACAAATTCCGTCACTAATTCCGTCACAAATCCGTCGCTAATTCCATCGCTAAAAGTATTTTTTTTTGTGGTGTCAAAGTCTTTCACTTTTGTTTTCTATACCAACATGATTACTCGGTGAGTTGGTTTCTTGCTAAGTGGCTCTCACTTGCAAGTAACAAGAAAAGTCCACAATTAGCTTAACTAGATGTACAGTCACACATGTTGTTGATTTGTCTATCGAAGTCTCCTCTTATAATACATCCTGTCCCTCACTAATTAAAACGGACCTCCATTCAATACATTGGCCCAAATGCTTCTATCATTAATTAAAATGGTCCTCTACTCCTACTTTTCAAAGTCTTTCACTTTTGTTTTCTGTAGCAACATGATTGCTTGGTAAGCTGGTTTCTTGCTAAGTGGCTCCAACTTGCCAGTTACAAGAAAAGTCCACAATTAGCTTGACTACATGTACATTCACACACATTACTGATTTGTCTATCAAAGTCTCCTCTTATAATACTGCCTGTCCCTCACTAATTAAAACAGCCCCTCCATTCCAATACGTTGGCCCAAAAAATGGTTCTATCATTAATTAAAATGGTCCATCCACTCCTACTTTTCAAAGTCTTCCACTTTTGTTTTCTATAGCAACATGATTACTTGGTGAGATGGTTTTGCTAAGTGGCACCAACTTGCAAGTTACAAGAAAAGTCTACAATTAGCTTGACTACATGTACAGTCGCACACACTGTTGATTTGTCTACCATAGGCTGTTTTGGCAAATAAATCGAAATCATTATAAATAATCTAATGTCTTAAATATCTTAATTAGCTAGTTTGCATACAGAGGCACGTAGTTTTGAGAAATGTCATGTCACATCAGTTACGCACCCACTTGCTAGTAGGATACTCAATAAACAAATGCTATAATTCATCTCTACACCATTCTCGATTTGCTTAAAATTTCCTTAATGGCCATGGGGTTCCTGGTCAAAAAACTTTCTTTTGATCATTTGTAAATTGTTAAAATTCATTTTGTCAATTTATTTTATAGACATATACATACAACATATTAAAATTTATCTATCAAAATCAGTAGAACAATTGTTTTTAGGTAGACACTAAAGCAATAAAAGCATTTATATATATAACTCTCTCCTTTAATCCTCAATGTAAGACCTAATTAACTAATTTAAGTAAATTAAAAATATTAGTTAAATTAGTTAATATGATATGTTTTTTTTTAAAAAAAATACCCTAAGTATCCTTCTCAATTCCCTCCTTTTTTTTCTCCTACTTGATCATTACTGAGAGAATATCAATATGGTTAATTGGAAAAAATTTGATAAACATATGAAATAGTTCTACATATAGGACTAATATTAACTCTAAAATTAGGTCATATATTAAAGATTAAAGAAGTATATAGTATATAGTTGTAAGTGCATAATACATTTAAAGTATTGATTTAAATATAAATCCTATGAAAATGGATATCATTACCTTATTTTATTTTTTATTATAAAATGATACATTTAATGTTTTGAGATGTTAAATATTATATTTAATCATATATATTTGTTAGTGAGAAAAAAATATAAAAAGTCACACTAGCTGAAAGTATGACTTTTTACGACGACAATTGAACTTGTTGTTGAAAGTCACTTTATTTAAGTGGCGACTTTAATAGTTACCGGAGAAACTCAAACTTTTAGTCAGTAACAACTTCAATTATCATCGCAGAAGGTCACACTTTTGGTGGCGACTTAAATTATCGCCACTAAAAGTCAAGTTTCAAAGACAACTTTTTAGAATCGTCACTGAAAGCCAGTTTTTTGTAATATATTTTAATATCATGAAGATCAAAATTAGATATAATTTCATAGTATATGTGAAGTATGTATTAAAAACTTAATAAAGTTACGAATATGATATGTTAGTCATTAAATTGCATTTTCAACAGTAGTTTCTTGTCTTAGACAAAAAAAAAAAAAGAAGATTAAAAAATGAAGGTAGTAGTTTATGTCGTGGCCTACTGAGATCATGCAGTTTGAACTGGTTCTATTAGAATGAAGACTCCCTTGTAATACGCCCCAAATGTGTCCATCACTAATTAAAATGGCCCCGCCACTTCTACATTTCAAAGTCTTCCACTTAGAAAATATAAGTTGCCCGAGCTTGTAAGTTACGGGAAGTCACCACTTAGCTTATAATTTCTTCTCATGCACAGTCACACAAGATGTTTTGGATATTTCTGTGGTTGAAATCAAAAATCTAGCTATTTCCTCCATTGATCCTTTCACTGTGTTTCTTAAAGTACATGGCTAACAAAGCAAAGTTAAATGATGATTTAATAAAAAAATGTACATGTGCCAAATTCAAAATTGAGAAAAAGTACGCATACTTGTAAAATGGCTTCCCCCCTTAAAATTCATATGGAGATTAAGCTCAACTATTCAAATTAAATGCGAACACATCATTAATTATCTATGAGAAAAGTACAGATTTCGGCATTACTTTCTCAAGATGTACTATCAATCATCAATTAATTCAAGAGGCCCCTAACTCCCACACACATTAACTGATTTTTCCATCTTTCAAGAGTTATTTTCAAGTCGTCCAAGGCGCAAACTGGAAATAAAGAGAAGACCAGTCTTTCTTAGAGCACTATCACTATTTCTCTCCCTTTCTACACGTAATATTTCTTTTTCAGTCCTTTCTACACGTAAATGGAATTTAAGAAAAGTGGCTTGATTAGCTAAATATTTGGGAGGAAAAACAAATTGAGATTTTATATTGAGATCAAAACAAATTTCTGAACTAGTTTTCATATGCAAGATTGTAGGGAGTGTATGTTTAGTTTAGTTTTTAATATGAATTTATTATAAATAATTTTTCTATATATTGTGCGGCTAGCAATTGAATAGGACCGGGGGAGTATTATTTTAAAGTTATATCATGAAGATTAATATGAAATATGATTTCAGACCATATGCAAAGTTTGTATTAAAAAATTAATAGAGAAGGTTAAAATGCTAAGCCAAAAAAGAAAGTTAAAAATATGATAATTTTTTTAAAAAAAAATTGAGGAGGCTAATCACAAAGTTTAAGATCGATCAGCGAAATATAAATTTTAAGGGTTTCACTTGAAGGATCAAATTTTAAGTTGGTTTGGTTTTTTCAAATTTCAATTGTTTTCGTATAAATTGAGTTTGTAACTAAGATTGCTCATTTTGATCCCAAATGGCAAATGGACCTTTGGGATTTTTTTTTGGCAAAAATATTTTTATCTGTTAAAAGATTTAAGTACTAATAAATATAGGGAAAATGACATAAAAATGACATTTAAACTTGAAAATCCCAAATGGTTACTTGAATAAGTAAAATTCAAATTCTTTTTTTAAAAAAAGAATAAAAAATAAAAGGTAATATGGTCATTTCAAAAAATTTGTAAATCTCAAATTGGTCACATGTACTTAAATTAGAATTTACTTATTCAAATAACTATTTTGGGGTTTCAAAGTTTAAGTGTCATTTTTGTCCTTTTCTCATAAATATATGACACTTTTTTGGGCCAATATATAAATACTTTTCATATCATGTAAGTTAAGTATTACATTCTTTCATACTATAATATTTATTAACAAATAAATTAATGAAGTCTCAGCGATAATATTCTTCAAATGTCATTATTAGAATTGCACATCCACTCCACTTTTCAATGTCTTTCACTTTTGCTTGATAAAATGATCACTAATAAGCTGTTCTCTTCTTCTTTAGTTGCCCAGCTTGCAAGTTAGAAGAAAGTCCACAGTTAGCTTGATTACATATACAGTCACGCACATTGTTGATTTCTCTATCATATGCTATTTTGGCAAATGAATCTGAATCATTATAGATAATTTAATGTTTTAAATATCTCAATTAGCTAGTTTGCATACAGAGGCGTTGTTTTGAGAAATGTCAAGTCACATCAGTTACACACCTACTTGCTAGTAAGAATACTCAATGAATAAATAATGACTGTTAATTCATCTCCTTATATATATCTCTCACTATCCCTTCATTTACACCATTCTCGATTTGTTTAAAATTTCTTTCATAGCCATAGGGTTCCTCGTCGTTAGAGAATCTCAATTTTCTGAGAAGCTAACACTTTGGTGGGTGCTATTAGTTGGCTTTTTAATATTGTTCCCATTTCCTATTTCCTCTTTCATGACCTCATCATTAAACAATGAAGTAAATGCTTTGCTCAAGTGGAAGGCCAGCCTTGACCACCAAAACCAAACTGTGTTATCATCATGGAAGGATAATAGTAGTCCTCCTTGCAAATGGGTTGGAATTGCATGCAATGAGCTCAACTCCATTGCCAATATATCTCTTCCAAATTTTGGACTAAGAGGTACACTTGATAGTCTCAATTTCTCATCCTTTCCTCATCTCCAATTCATACAGTTGCAACATAACTCATTTTATGGGAATATCCCTCCCCAGATTGGCGAACTATCCACACTCATTTGTATAGATTTTTCTTATAATGAGTTCTCCGGTAGCATTCCAACAAGTCTTGCCAACCTTTCCTCAATCACCTTTTTTTATTTTAGTCATAATGAACTTTTTGGAACATTTCTAGATTGGATCACACAGTTGACTAGGATTAGTGCTATGGGCATAGGTTATAATCATTTCAGTGGCCATATTCCTGAAGCTATAGCAAATTTGACTAACCTATCATGGTTTGAGCTAGGAGGCAATAACTTTTCTGGTCATATTCCTCCACAAATTGGTAGATTGATTAACCTCCAATACTTAAGATTTAGTGGCAATCAGTTTACTGGCTCTATCCCCCATGGGATTGGAATGATCAAGGGACTTGTGGAATTTGACATGTCAGAGAACTATCTCTCTAGTAGCATCCCTACTACTATCGGAAACGTGTCCAGTTTACAAGGACTTTATCTTTATAATAATCAAATCTCAGGGTCAATTCCACAGGAAATCAGGAAACTCCATGCTTTGGGAGTATTGCAGTTGTCAGGCAATAAAATATCGGGATCAATCCCACCATCCATAGGGAACTTGACCAATCTAGCCGACCTCAGTCTTTTTCAAAACAACCTTTCTGGATCTATCCCTTCTAGCATTGGAAACTTGACAAAGCTCTCCATGCTAAAGTTGTTTCAAAATAAACTTAGTGGCAATTTTCCATCAGAAATGAATAACCTTACAAAATTAGTAAGCTTGCAAATTGCATACAATAATTTCAAAGGCCATTTGCCCCAAGACATTTGCCTTGGTGGACTGCTTATTGCACTCACTGCAACTAAGAATCAATTCACTGGTCCAATTCCAAGAAGTTTGAAGAACTGCTCTAGCCTTATTAGAGTCAGGCTTGAAAGTAATCAACTTACAGGGAATGTCACAGAAGCTTTTGGTGTATATCCACACTTGGACTATATTGATTTAAGTAATAATGCACTTTATGGCCACTTATCACCCACATGGGGGCACTGCAATAACCTTACAAACCTTGGGATCTCTTATAATAACTTGTCAGGGGGCATACCACCAGAACTAGGTCAGGCAAAAAAGTTACAGCGACTTAATTTTTCATCAAATCACTTGACAGGAAATATTCCAAAGGAATTAAGCCGCTTGTCATTATTGAGTGAACTTGGTCTGAGCAACAATCAACTTTCAGAAAACATTCCTATTGAGATAGGATTGTTGACGAAACTTGAATAGTTAAGTCTAGCTAACAATCACTTAAGTGGCTCGATTCCAGAACGACTGGGAGGGTTGACCAAATTATGGGAATTAAACATAAGTGGAAATAAGTTCTTTGGCATTCCCATTAGTTTTGGTTGATTGCAATAGCTTCAGTTTCTTGATCTTAGTGGAAATTCATTTGCTGAAAGAATCCCAGTAATGCTTGGAGAGCTACGACGACTGGAAATGTTGAACCTCTCATGTAATAATTTCTCTGGAATGATTCCTTCATCTTTTAATGATTTGATAAGCTTGACTATGGTTGACATATCATACAATAAATTAGAAGGTCCACTTCCAAATATTTCAGCCTTTCGTGCAGCTACAATAGAGAGATTAAAGGGCAACAAAGGCTTATGTGGTAATCTATCTGGCCTACCAATTTGCCCAACAACAAATTTTGACTCAAGCCATTCTAAGAGCAGGAAAGTGGTGATCTATGTTGTATCCTTTAGTTCAGGAGTTGTGATGCTAGTAACATTTTTTGTTGGGATTTCATATATTATTTTCCATCACAAAGCAAGGAAAACAGGAAGTCAAGAAAGAGAAGTGCAAACTCAAAATTTGTTTGCCATATGGAGTTATGATGGGAAATTAGTATATGAAAACATTATTGAAGCCACAGAGGATTTTGATGAAAAATATCTCATTGGGAAAGGAGTATCTGGAAGTGTATACAAGGCAGAATTATCCACAGGTCAAGTTGTAGCAGTGAAGAAGCTTCATTCAGTACCAGACAGGGATATGTGCCATCAGAAAGCTTTTATGAGTGAGATTAGAGCCTTAACAGGAACTAGACATCATAATATCATCAAGCTATATGGGTTTTGCTGGCATTCAAAGGTCTCTTTTTTGGTTTATGAATTCTTGGAAGGTGGCAGCTTGGACAAGATACTAAGTGAAGAGACACAAGCAATTGTATTGGATTGGAGTAAAAGAATCAAAGTTGTTGAAGGCGTGGCTAATGCTTTATACTATCTTCATCATGGATGCTCACCTCTGATAGCTCATCGTGATGTGTCAAGCAAAAATGTTATTTTAGACTCAGATTATGAGGCTCACATCTCTGACTTCGGGACAGCCAAGCTTTTGTATCCAGATTCTAACAATTGGACCTCATTTGCTGGTACCTTTGGCTATGCTGCTCCAGGTTAAGGATCTTTTATGTTATGTGATTTTCATTACTTTTGAGTTTGCATAGCGTTATATTTCATGTTTTCATTATTTAACAATTAAAAATTTATCATTCACAATGTTTTTTTAATGATAATCTTTTGGTTTTGTTATAGAACTTGCTTACACAATGGAAGTGACCGAGAAATGTGACATTTATAGCTTTGGAGTATTGGCTCTAGAAATAATTATGGGAAAGCATCCAAGAGATCTCATAATGTCATGTTTCTCATCAACATCTTCTAGTGCAGCACCAACAACAGTTGCTTACGATTTGGATTTGAAGGAAGTGTTAGACCAAAGGCTACCTTATCCTCGAGGTTCAGTGGCTGAGAAGGTGATGTTGATTGCAAGAATAACTTCTACTTGCTTGAATGAAAACCCACGTGCTCGCCCAACTATGGAGCAAGTATGTAAGCAGCTTGCCATGCCAAAATCACATATTTCTAGTTCCATTCCATAGCTTCATATAAGTTTTGTCTGGAGATCTCAACTGAAAATAAGATCATTACGATGTGATGATGTGTGGTGTATTATTGTCTTCATACTTAATGTGTTCCCTTAGTCTACTTGTGTTTTACCTTTTGAATAAAGACCAACCCGAAATAATAATTAAATATTGTGTAATTAAGTTCATTAGTGATGTGTTATTAATTTATAGTTTCTATTACATATTTTTCTAATCCTTGATTTGATAAGATCAATGTTGCACGTCATCATTAACAACTCCAATATATGACTAATGTATGTGTGTATTACCCAGTAAAGTAATTAATTCATATTCAAGGAAGCGTCACCCAGAATTGATTTGTTTAGCAATTTTATAATTTTAAGGAACTTACTTTAAAAACCACATTGTAAATCTATTTATTTATCCTCCATCTTCAGCTATTTGCCAGTCCAATCCAAGTACTAGAAGATCTTCATCTTCATATCCTTCTCTATCATCGCAAACTAACAATAAAAATTTTTCAAACACATTGTAAAATTTTAAACCATCTCTAAACAGCAGTGACGTAGAATGAATTTTTTATTTCTAGTGCAATAAAAAACTTCTCTTTTCATATAAGTAAGCAAATGACTTGTTTAGCAATTTTATAATTTTAGGGAACTTACTTTTAAAAACACATTGTAAATCTATTTGTTTATCCTCCATCTTCAGCTACTTGCCAGTCCAATCCAAGTACTAGAAGATCTCCATCCTCAAATCCGTCTCTATCATTGCAAACTAACAATAAAATTTTTTCAAACACATTGTAAAATTTTAAACCATCTCTAAACAGCAATGACGTAGAATGAATTTTTTATTTCTACTACACTAAAAAACTTCTCTTTTCACATAAGTAAGCAAATAATAATCGCTACGCAGTTATGTCCAATATTGTTTTGCTTTAGGTTCTTGACAATATTTATAATAGAAAAAGCTCTTTTAAACTTGTTGCCATATAGATAGTACTCCTCCGATCCTTAATATAAAACCTATTTAACTAATTTAATTAGATTAAGAAAATTAGGTAGGTTAGTTAGTTACAAGAAATATGACATGTTTCTCTCTTCTACTTGATTATGGTTGAGGGAGTGTCCATAAAGGTAATTTAGAAAAAATTGATAAATATGAAAAATAAGTTTTATATATGGGACCAAAATCAACTCAACAATTAGGTCATGTATTAAGGACCAGAGGAGTATCAACTACTAATTTCTTGTTACCATGATTATTCTGTGAAAAAATTTTCAAATTGACTATTTACTGCCAAAAGTTCTAAGTGAGAGAATTCCGAAGAACAAAATTGAACGAAACAAATTAGATTATATTCTTATCCAATGTTAAAAATCAATAAATTTCTTAAATGCATGCTTGTGCCAAAAAAGAAGTTTTCAAGTTATATCTAAAATAAACGTAGTCAATCACAAAGGATTAAATAAAATAATAAATAATGCTAAATATAGATATGTGATGTGCAAATTAAATACATGATATGTAAACTAAAATACTTAAAGTATAATTGTATATCTTATATATATATATATATATATCTGTGTGAGTGTGCGCACACACATATATGTGAAAAAATTTAGGTGACATGCATATTGAAAACAATAAGAAAAATGAAGAAAGGATAAGAAATAGAAGGGGGAGAAAAAAGAAATCAATAACATCTAAGCATGAAGAGGGAAAATTTATCTCCAGAATGAATACAAATATGAGATGTTCAAAAGTTGGGGGCTAACAAACACATCAGCAAACTTAAAGATCAATTAAAAAAAAATCAAATCAGGTTTCCCATGTTGCTCCTCACATTTTAAATTTCATCTTAATAATGCATGTTGGGAACTTAAAGATAGCTAAAAGCAATGTAATTATGAAAAGACTTGCAATGCCTGTTATGCTTTTATTATTACTAGAAAGTGTCTATCTCTTTTCACTATGTAACTATGAAAAGATTTTCAATACCTGTTATCATATTACTTATACTTTTGAGATACTTAGCATGATTTGTGTTGCAAGCATCAAAGTTATGTTTTAACTTGGATAATAATGTTGAATGACTAATGATTTGTTGTGGAATATAGATCCACATCAAGCTATCTATTTTGATGATTGGCCCTTATTCAAAAACTTGTGATATGTTGTGTATGCTAAACTATTGCCTCTGGTCTTGGTCTTGATGGTTGGACTTGACTATGTGTACTTTTTTTTTTTGGCCAGCTACTTGATTATATGTCTTGGACTTTAAATGGGTCCAAAATCCGTCCGTTATGTATTAACACATACACACACACATAGCATATATATATATATACACAGACTGCCTCCCGACTACATACAAGAACTAATTAATAATTCAATTTAATTATAAATATAATATTTCAATTTATTTCATCTATTATATTTATTTATATATATTTTAAATAATCTTCATGATAATTGCATGTAACATCTTATCTTTATACACCAGTGAAATTATTCTAGATGATTGTAAACCACTAAAAATCAGAGTTCATCTTGAGAATTTTTTTTTCCTTGTGAAAAAATTCCCCAAACACAAGGATTGTTTCTACTTAGGAAATGGGATTTTCTAAAAAAATTTAAATTGGATTTTCTAAAAAAATTTAAAATTTCAAACTTACTTTTTATGAAGTCTGACTAGTGATTTAAGTGTTTGATCTAACTTTGTTTATAAAATTGATAAATTTTCTTAAGACTAAGGCTCTAACATTGTTAAAGCCCCGCACTTGACAAATAAGTCAACACAAAAATTCTTCTCCTTGAGCAACTTCTCTATCCCTGGACATAATGCATACTTACCCTTATATAATAAGATAACTAAATATAATTAATTATTTTCCTCTACTTTACTACCGTACAGCCATCATAGTAGATGGCACTCACTGCTAGCTACAAGAGCCATTACTTTTCTTTTTATAGAGGTTTATATTATAACACACTCCTCTATACACCTAGATGTGAGTAGATTTATTAATCATGACTGAAAGCTTACGTCAAAAAGAGAATTTTTAAAACTTTTCATCGAACTTTGAATCATGACTTGTCATTTCACTTTCTTGAAGATTCATGCTATAAAAATAAGACCTAGATTCATTCTTTATGTACCTAATAGTAGCTTCTATTCATGAGACCTGTACAAATGTCACTTCTAAAAACTCTACCTTTCTATT